AGAGAGCAGAAGGTGTGTGCGAGGAGTGGAGAGGACGGTTTGGGTGATATTTGGAGACAAGATTGGTGATGTAATTTGGAGCAGAGGTATACAGTGAAGGAAATGCGTATTTGCTCCCCTGCTGATGTTGAGTGTTCGCTACTCACAAAGAAATGATCGGTCTAAAAATCAAATGTTCGGTGTTTTGTAACACTGAGAGACAGAATAGCAACAACAAATTCAGCAGAAATGCGTCTAACAAATGATGACTGATCTGCATGTTCATGAGGGAAAGAAGGGTTTGCTCCCCTATCATTCAGCAGGATTTCTGGCTACCAGGTGTCTTTCATACAGGTAACAAGCTGAGATTAGAAGCAGTCTCTTAAAGGGAGTGCTGCTAATCTCATTGTGTTACCTGTATAAAAGACACCTGTCCACAGGAGCAATCAAACCATCAGATTCCAAACTCTCCACCATGGCAAAGACCAAAGAGCTGTCCAAGGATGTCAGGGACAAGATGGTAGACCTACACAAGGCTGGACTGGGCTACCAAACTATGGCCAAGCAGCTTGGTGAGAAGGTGACAACAGTTGGTGCAATCATTCACAAATGGAAGAAACACAAAACAAGTGTCAGTCTCCCTAGGTCTGGTGCACCATGCAAGATCTCACCTCGTGGAGTGTCCATGATCATGAGAACAGTGAGGAATCATCCCAGAACTACACGTGAGGATCTTGTCAATGATCTCCAGGCAGCTGGGACCAAAGTCACCAAGAAAACAATTGGTAACACACTACGCCGACAAGGACTGAAATCCTGCAGTGCCGCAAGGTCCCTCTGCTCAAGAAAGCCCATGTCCAGGCCCGTCTGAAGTCTGCCACTGAACATCTGAATGATGCAGAGGAGGACTGGTGGGAAGTGTTGTGGTCAGATGAGACCAAAATCCAGCTCTTTGGCATCAACTCAACTCGCCGTGTTTGGAGGAGGAGGAATGCTGCCTATGACCCCAAGAACAACATCCCAACTGTGAAACATGGTGGTGAAACATTCTGCTTTCGGGGACAGGACAACTGCACCGCATCAAAGGGACAATGGACGGGGCAATGTACCATCAAATGTTGGGTGAGAACCTTCTTCCCTCAGCCAGGGCATTGAAAATGGGTCATGGATGGGTGTTCCAGCATGACAATGACCCAAAAACACACGGCCAAGGCAAAGGAGTGGCTCAAGAAGAAGCACATTAAGGTCCTGGAGTGGCCTAGCCAATCACCAGACCTTAATCCGATTGACAATCTGTGGAGGGATCTGAAAGTTCGAATTGCCAAACGTCAGCCAACCAAACCTTAATGACTTGGAGAGGATCTGCCAAGAGGAGTGGGCCAAAATCCCTCCTGAGATGTGTGCAAACCTGGGGGCCAACTCCAGGAAACGTCTGACCTCTGTGATTGCCAACAAGGGATTTGCCAAGTACTAGAAGCAGAATCTGATGCTTAAAGCCTGGTTTCTGTAATAGCTGATAGGTTAAGGGAGCGGGAGACAAAAAGGTCATGGACGGAGGTGAGCTTATTCCAGACAGAGCGGGCATTCCAGAGTGCACATGAAAAAGGGAGGGTGGTTTTTAGGAGCACGGGGATTGGGATTAAATTGAGTGGATTGCGGCTATGGGCAGTACAGTGGCTAAATATGGGCAGCACAGTGGCTAAATGGTTAGCACTTCCGCCTGGCAGTACTGGGGTAGTTGGTTCGAATCCCAGCCACGGCACCTCCTGCCTGGAGTTTTCATGTTCTCCCTGTGCCTGCGTGGGTTTCCTCCGGGTACTCTGGTTTCCTCCCACACTCCAAAGACAAACTGGTAGGTGAATTGGATCCTGTCTAAATTGGCCCTATCATGTGTATGTATGAATGTAAGTTAGGGACCTTAGATTGTACCCCTTGAGGGTTAGGGACTGATGTGAATGTACAATGTATATGTAAAGCGCTGCGCAAATTGATGGCACTATATTAGTACCTGGAATAAATAAATAAATATTCCTGGAGGAAGGAGGGTGCCTGGTGTGGGGGTGAGATACTGGAGGACCAGGTTTTGGGGAGATATCCACAGAGGTTAGAAGGAGGGTGGGGAAAGTAAGATGGGAGTGGGATGTACAGTTGTGTTCAAAATAGTAGCAGTCAGACATCACTAACCGGATCAATCTCTGTTTTTGGTGGAAATGATATTTCTACATGGCAGATAATTTCCTAGCCGGTGTAGTAGAGTCATAGAAATCCAACAGACCCGACAGTCATGACATGCATGCTGCTGATTCTGTGTCATTGAATCACTCATTGAAAGGGGCGTGTTCACAATAATAGCCGTGTGGAGTTCTATTAGTGAGGTCATTCATTCTTTAATAAACAGGTGGCAATTATTGCCCTTATTTAAGGAAGGAAGGCAGCAAATGTTGGACATGCTGGTTACAGTGCATTTCTCTCTGAAATTCTGAGGAAAATGGGTCGTTCCAGACATTGTTCAGAAGAACAGCGTACCGCGATTAAAAAGTTGATTGGAGAGGGGAAAACATATAAAGAAGTGCAGAAAATGATCGGCTGCTCAGCTAAAATGATGGCAAATGCTTTAAAATGGTGACCAAAACCTGAAAGACGCGGAAGAAAGCGAAAAACTACCATTGGAATGGATAGAAGAATAGCCAAAATGGGGCGGACTCAGCCAACAATCAGCTCCAGGAAGATGAAAGAAGGTGTGACGTTCCCTGTGAGGACTCAGCCAACAATCAGCTCCAGGAAGATGAAAGAAGGTGTGACGTTCCCTGTGAGGACTCAGCCAACAATCAGCTCCAGGAAGATGAAAGAAGGTGTGACGTTCCCTGTGAGGACTGTTACAATTAGAAGACGCCGATGTGAAGCCAAGCTATCTGCAAGAAGTCCCCGCAAAGTCCCACTGTTGGGAAAAAGACGTGTGCTGAAGAGGTTACAATCTGCCAAACAGCACATTGACCGGCCTAAAGAGAAATGGCGCAACATTTTGTGGACTGATGAAAGTAAGATTGTTCTTTTTGGGTCTAGTGGGCGGAGACAGTTTGTCAGACGACCCCCAAACACTGAATTCAAGCCACAGTACACTGTGAAGACCGTGAAGCATGGTGGTGCAAGCATCATGATATGGGGATGTTTCCTCATACTACGGTGTTGGGCCTATTTATCGCATACCAGGGATCATGGATCAGTTTGAATCCATCAGAATACTTGAAGAGGTCATGCTGCCTTATGCTGAAGAGGAAATGCCCTTGAAATGGGGTGTTCCAACAAGACAACGACCCCAAACACACCAGTAAAGGTGCAACATCTTGGTTCCCGACCAACAAGATGGACGTTATGGAGTGGCCAGCCCAATCCCCGGATCTTCATCCAATAGAAAACTTGTGGGGTGACATCAAAAATGCGTTTCTGAGGCCAAACCAAGAAATAGAGAAGAACTGTGGAATGTGGTCCAATCATCCTGGGCTGGAATACCTGATCACAGGGGCCAGAAGTTGGGGGACTCCATGCAACACAGATGTACAGCAGTTCTCAGAAACAGTGCGACTACAACCAAATATTCATGAAGTCATTCAAAGGAAAGCAAAATCTTCAAACATTTCTCAGTTTATATAGTGAATGTTGGAGTTTGTAAAGAAGAATACAAACACGGCCTTTTTTTGAACCGTCTAATATTCACTTTTCTTCCATTTTTTTAGAGGAACAACACAAATTTGATGTATTTTTCTTCCTGTTGTGATTTGGAATAGAATGTGTCGTGTTCCCAATGCATTTGTGTGGATGGAAATAAAAGGATTAGAAGGATTTTCAGCTTTAGTCACCTTTTTCAACACAATGCTATTATTGTGAACACAACTGTATATGAGTGCACATGCCTTCCAGTCCTGGTGTTTGGGTCAGCAGGAGAGTGAAGTATCAGCAGGAGGTGATGAGAGCCGTAGTAGGGAGATGGTAGCAGTGCGGATGAGATGTATAAGCTGTGAGGAGGAGCAGAGGGGTGAAGAGATTAGATTTTGAGAACAGAGGACAGTAATATGAAGGAGGAGTAGGGGCGTCATATTCAAAGGTACACAGTGTGGGAATCAGACTTGTAGGAGATGTTCCCCGGGGTGTTTCCTTGCAGTCCATCCAGCATGCAGTACAGTTCTTTGTTGTATCTTCCTGCTGCTTGAGTTATCCTGCTGTTTTGCACTCCAGCAGAAAATGCCCCCACACAGGACAATGCCCCCATCTGTGACCTCCCCCATAAACTGGTCTAAATTTTTAGGGAGATGATCAAATGAGCAACTCCTCTCCACCCCAATTAGGAAGTGATAAGGATCACATGAATTTGGGGGGAGGTTGGTCAAGACCAGACCAGACACAGGCCAAAGTCATAAAAGATGATTGATTCTGCACAAATGACTCTGTGCAGCCCACAGCATCCTAGCGATCAATGGTGCTGTGTAACCGACACCACCCTAGCAACCACTGACACTGCAGCCCCAGGGGTAAACATGCACTGAGGATGGAATGTCCAGTATGGACAGCCAAGAGCTTCCACCCTACCAATGATGCTGTGCAGCTGTCAGTGTCCTAGCAACCAATGATGCTGTGTAGCTGACAGCATCCTAGCAACCTATGGCTTTGTGTAGCCAACAGAATCCTAGCAACTTCTGACACTGTAGCTCCCAAGAGGCACTGAACATGCACTGAGGATGGAGAGTCCAGTATGGACAGCCAAGAGCATCCAAGCAACCAATGATGCTAAGCAGCAGACAGCTTTCTAGCAACCAATGATGATGGAGTTTCCAGGCACTTCAGCCTCAGGAACACAAAAGGTTGTCACTAATGAGTCTACAACGAATGTCATGAATAGTATTCAGTGTTCCAAATAGCTTTTCATAAGTTTGACAGATTCCTCAACCGTTCCTCCACTCCATCTAAAACAAAAAGTCTCGGCAGGAATCGGGAGTTAAACGTTGGCATTTTCTTCTCACCTTCAGGGACTACGACCGGGAAAACTTTGCCGATAACCAGATCCCCCTGTTGGTCATCGGCACTAAACTGGACCAGATCCCAGAGGCCAAACGCACAGAGGTCCTGATCCGCACCGCGTTTCTGGCGGAGGATTTCAATGCCGAAGAGATGAATCTGGTGAGTGATCCCCTCTCTGTGTGGGGCTAATATAGCAAGCTGTGAGGAGAGCCAAGAAGTCAAAAGGCCGCAGTCTGCCCAACGTCTGTGAGTGTCAGCCAGTGGAGCTCAAGTGTCACAAGCAATTTTTTAAAAAAATTTTAAAAATGTATTTTATTTTTTAATATCATTTGTTTTGTTTTTTTAACATACTATCACCAGCAATTTTATTTATTTATTCCGTTATCTTTTTAAAAAAATAACCCAAATTAGTTTATAACCAAAAATTATAATTTTGAACATTTTTTTTTTTTTTTTTTTTTTTTTTATTTTTTTATATTTATTTTTTATTTTTTTACATACTGACACCCTAGCAGTATAGTGTCACCATGGTGTACTGTGGGGGGTGTGATGAATTTTTTTTTTTTTTTTTTTTTACACTGATTGCTTTTACACCCATAAAGGCTGTAAAAGCAATCATTTCTCCTTCTCTCTGGCTGCATTCCTGTAGCCATTGAGAAATACTGTGTGAGCTGTGATTGGTCACAGCTTGTCACATGGTACAAGGCTGTTGTGAATAGCCCTGTACCATGTGATCTCTGTAATCATTCACAGATTTCACATGTAGTAAGCAATGATGTCAGAAGTGACATCTTGCTTACTACTCTGCATATGATCACTGATTGGCCAATCAGCGATCACATGATCAGGACCTCACACAGAGGTCCCGTACAGCGATCGGCGTTCCACTGTGTCCGGAGGACACAGCAGGCGCCGGATCGCGGTGCTGCGTGCTCCCGGGGAGCGCGCACAAGCAGGGAGCGAGGAGGACGTTTATATACAGCGGGCGGACGGGAAGTGGTTAACCACTTCCAGTCCGGACACTTTCACCCCCTTCCAGTCCCCTCCCCCCCTTCCTTGTCCAGGCCAATTTTCAGCTTTCAGCGCTATCACACTTTGAATGACAATTGCGCGGTCATGCAACACTGTACCCATATGAATTTTTTAGCATTTTTTTGAGACAGATAAAGCTTTATTTTGGTGGTATTTATTGATCACTGGGATTTTTATTTTTTTTGCTATGTAAATAAAAACATCCAAAAAATTTTCTTATACAATTTTGCAAATAAATAATATTTCATCATAAATGTTGGCCAAGATTTATTCCGTTATATTTTTAGTAAAAAAAAAAAATAACCCAAATTAGTTTATAACTAAAAATTATAATTTTTAAACATTTTTTTTTTTTTTTTTTTTTATTTTTTTTATATTATTTATGGGTTTATTTTTTTTTACATACTGTCACCCTAGCAATACAGAGTAGCCATGGTGACACTGTACTAGTGGGGGGGTGATGAAGAGTTTTTTTTTTTTTTTTACACTGATTGCTCTTACACCCATAAAGGCTGTAAAAGCAATAATTTCTCCTTCTCTCTGGCTGCATTCCTGCAGCCATTAAGAAATACTGTGTGAGCTGTGATTGGTCACAGCTTGTCAAATGGTACAAGGCTTTTGTGAATAGCAATGTACCATGTGATCTCTGTGATCATTCACAGATTTCACACGTAGTAAGCAATGATGTCAGAAGTGACATCTTGCTTACTACTCTGCATGTGATCACTGATTGGCCAATCAGTGATCACATGATCGGGACCTCGCACAGAGGTCCCGTCCGACGATCGGTATTCCACTGGGTCCAAAGGACACAGCGGGCACCGGATCGCGGTGCTATGCGCTCCCAGGGATCGCGCACAAGCAGGGTACAGTCAGGCCGTTTATAAACGGCCACCTGTCCCTGCACTGCCACCGTCCAGCCGTTTACATACATGGGCCGGACAGGAAGTGGTTAAAGCGTCACTTATTTTTAAGAACCGTAGTTTGGCGCCATTCCACAAGCATTTTCTATTTTGAAGCATGACATGATAGATGTATATTTACTCATCCTCTTTTATATTATACAAAAAAAAAAAACCCGGAGTTATATGTTTTGGGTTTTTTTAATGCATTAAAGTGTCATTTCCAAAAAAAATTGCGTTTTAAAAATCGCTGCGCAAATACCGCGTGACATAAAAAATTGCAGCGACTGCTATTTTATTCTCCAGGGCCTCTGCTATGAAAAAAAAAAAAATCTATTATATTTGGGGGTTCTAAGTAATTAAAGTTTGATTTTTACATATATAAGGCTACGTTCACACTAGCGTTGTGTGCAGGCGGCAGAGAGGCGTTTGGGAAGCGTTTTTACCGCTTCCCAAACGCCTCTGCCAATTCTGCACGGGAGCGTTTGCGTTGCGTCGCGGCAAAACAGACTCCTCTGGTCGAGTCAGGAGGCGTTGAAGCCTCCTATTCTCATCTATGGTGCCGCTCTGCAAACGCCCGGCCGGCGTGTACGGTTGCGGGGCGTTTGCGGAGCGGTAACACCATTCAAATGCATTATAGGCGTTTGTGGGGCGTTTTTAACGCTCGGCAAACGCCTAGCAACCACCGCTAAACCACGCATGCGTTTGCGGAGCATTTGCCGAGCGTTAAAAAAACGCTCCGCAAACGCCGGACCAACGCTTGCCAAACGCTATAGGGGCGTTTGGCAAGCGGTGGTAAAAGAGCCAAGTGTGAACGAGCCCTAAGAGAAGTGTCACAACTGTCCCGGTAAGGAAGTGGTATGTGGGATAATCTTCTACAATCGGGAATCGGTGATCGTGACACACTTGCACAGGCAGGTTGTGGTTTGTGTAGCCATTTCTAGGTTTGAAGGTGCCTATGTAAACACAATCTTTTTTTTTTTTTTTCAGGACTGCAACAACACGCGTGGCCTTGCTGCCGGATCCTCCAACGCCGTCAAACTTAGCAGGTTCTTTGACAAGGTAATGTCTTTGACTAGAATAGAGAGGAATAGGAGAGGAATAGAGAGGATCCATTGCCTCTTTACTGGGTTTAGTTCTTTCCCCCTGATTGCGTCATGTGTGACATCATACATTTTCTTGGCCCTAGGCCCACACCCCAAACCACAGGTGTCAAACACAAGGCCCCCAGGCCGAATCCGGCCCTGCAGGCCATTTCATGTGGCCCTTGCACCTCTCTGTCAGGTACCCCCTTGTCTCCGCCCCCAGCTTGTCGCAGCAGAGCAGAGAATAGAACGCCTCTGCAAAATCCTGTACCTCTCTGTGCAGCTGCAGCTCATCTCTGCCTCCCCGGGTCTCAGCATTCAGCAGACTCTGGTAACTGACGCCACTCCTTCTCTGGTCCTCCTCTAGACCCGGCACTTTCTGCTTTCCAGCTCTGCTCCCAAAGGGGGTGCACAGTGATGTTATGGAGGGTGTAGGATTCTTGACATCTGATGTAATTGGGGGGGGTGCTGTGGACATTTAGTCTTACAGATTCAACTGGCCCTTTGAGGGCAAATATATATATAAATAAATAAATACATATATATTTATACATTTATAAATATATAATTTTTTTTTTTTTTTTTTAATATATACACGTGAAACTCAAAAAATTAGTATATCGTGCAAAAGTTCATTTATTTCACTGCAGCAACTTAAAAGGTGAAACTAATATATGAGACTCATTCCATGCAAAGCAAGATAGTTCAAGCCGTGATTTGTCATCATTGTGATGATTATGGCTTACAGCTCATGAAAACCCCAAATCCACAATCTCAGAAAATGAGAATATTGTGAAAAGGTGGAATAATCTCGGCTCAAAGTGTCCCACTCTAATCAGCTCATTCAGCCATAACACCTGCAAAGGGGTCCTGAGCCTTTAAATGGTCTCTCAGTCTGGTTCAGTAGGAATCACAATCAGGGGAAAGACTGCTGACCTGACACCATCACTGACACCCTCCATAAGGAGGGAAAGCCTCACAAGGTAATTGCAGAAGAAGTTGGATGTTCCCAAAAGTGCTGTATCAAAGCACATTAATAGAAAGTTATGTGGAAGGGAAAAGTGTGGAAGAAAAAGGTGCACAAGCAGCAGGGATGACCGCAGCCTGGAGAGGATTGTCAGGAAAAGGCCATTCAAAAGTGTTGAACTTTCACAAGGAGTGGACTGAGGCTGGAGTCAGTGCATCAAGAGCCACCACACACAGACGGATCCCGGACATGGGCTTCAAATGTCGTATTCCTCTTGTCAAGCCGCTCCTGAACAACAAACAACGTCAGAAGCGTCTTACCTGGGCTAAAGAAAAACAGACCTGGTCCGTTGCTCAGTGGTCCAAAGTCCTCTTTTCTGATGAGAGCAACTTTTGCATCTCATTTGGAAACCAAGGACCCCGAGTATGGAGGAAGAATGGAGAGGCCCAAGGACCCCGAGTATGGAGGAAGAATGGAGAGGCCCAAGGACTCCGAGTATGGAGGAAGAATGGAGAGGCCCAAGGACCCCGAGTATGGAGAAAGAATGGAGAGGCCCAAGGACCCCGAGTATGTAGGAAGAATGGAGAGGCCCAAGGACCCCGAGTATGGAGGAAGAATGGAGAGGCCCAAGGACCCCGAGTATGGAGGAAGAATGGAGAGGCCCAAGGACCCCGAGTATGGAGGAAGAATGGAGAGGCCCAAGGACCCCGAGTATGGAGGAAGAATGGAGAGGCCCAAGGACCCCGAGTATGGAGGAAGAATGGAGAGGCCCAAGGACCCCGAGTATGGAGGAAGAATGGAGAGGCCCAAGGACCCCGAGTATGGAGGAAGAATGGAGAGAGGCCCAAAGACCCCGAGTATGGAGGAAGAATGGAGAGGCCCAAAGACCCCCGAGTACGGAGGAAGAATGGAGAGGCACAAGGACCCTGAGTATGGAGGAAGAATGGAGAGGCCCAAGGACCCCGAGTATGGAGGAAGAATGGAGAGGCCCAAGGACCCCGAGTATGGAGGAAGAATGGAGAGGCCCAAGGACCCCGAGTATGGAGGAAGAATGGAGAGGCACCAGGACCCCGAGTATGGAGGAAGAATGGAGAGGCCCAAGGACCCCGAGTATGGAGGAAGAATGGAGAGGCCCAAGGACCCCGAGTATGGAGGAAGAATGGAGAGGCCCAAGGACCCCGAGTATGGAGGAAGAATGGAGAGGCCCAAGGACCCCGAGTATGGAGGAAGAATGGAGAGGCCCAAGGATCCCGAGTATGGAGGAAGAATGGAGAGGCCCAAGGACCCAGAGTATGGAGGAAGAATGGAGAGGCCCAAGGACCCCCGAGTATGGAGGAAGAATGGAGAGGCCCAAGGACCCCGAGTATGGAGGAAGAATGGAGAGGCACACACTGCAAGATGCTTGAAGTCCAGTGTGAAGTTTCCACAGTCTGTGTTGATTTGGGGAGCCATGTCATCTGCTGGTGTTGGCCCACTGTGCTTCATTAAGTCCAGGGACAACGCAGCCGTCTACCAGGAGATTTTGGAGCACTTCATGCTTCCTTCCACAGACGAGCTTTATGGGGATGCTGACTTCATTTTCCTGCCAAAAACACCAAAACCTGGTTCAATGACCGTGGGATTACTGTGCTTGATTGGCCAGAAAACTCGCCTGACCTGAATCCCATAGAGAATCTATGGGGCATTGCCGAAAACCAAACCAAAATGTCTGCGTATGTGGGGGTGGGGAGGCTCTTATTTTTTTTTCTACTTTCATGTATATAATTTTTTTTTTTTTTTTTACTTATGATTTTATTGCTATCACATAAGGGACCAATTGTCCCCTATGTGATAGCAAATGAGTGACAGGTCCTCTTTGTAGGGGGGAGAGGGACAGTGTGTGCAAGGAGGGAGCAGGAGAGGAGCAGTGTATACAGTGAGGTCGCAGTGTATACAGAGAGGCTCTCTCACTGGCTGTCACTATATGTCAGTGCCGGTTTTTAAATGCAAACTAAAAAGAAACTTTGTTTCTTTCAGCTCGGGATAGAAACTAAAAAAACTTTCTTTTAGCTCGGGAAAGAAACTGTTTCTTGTAGCTCGGGAAAGAAACTAAAAAGAAACTTTGTTTTCTTTTAGCTCGGGAAAGAAACTAAAAAAACTTTCTTTTAGCTCGGGAAAGAAACTTAAAAGAAATTGTGTCTTTTAGCGGGAAAGAAAGAAAAAAGAAACTTTGTTTCTTTTTAAAAAGAAACTAAAAAGAAACTTTGTTTCTTTTAGCTCGGGAAAGAAACTAAAAAGAAACTTTCTTTTAACTCGGAAAATAAACTAAAAGAAACTTTGTTTCTTTTAGCTCAGTAAAGAAACTAAAAAGAAACTTTGTTTCTTTTAGCTCGGGAAAGAAACTAAAAAGAAACTTTCTTTTAACTCGGAAAATAAACTAAAAGAAACTTTGTTTCTTTTAGCTCAGTAAAGAAACTAAAAAGAAACTGTTTCTTTTAGCTCGGGAAAAGTGACAGCTGATTCTCTGAGCTATAGTGAAGAAAAAAAACCCCAGCAATTGCATTTAAAAACTGGCACTGACATATAGTGACTGCTCCTCTCCTGCCTTTCTCCACCATCCCCCCTCACTTCTGCAGTACACACAGTCCCCTGTATCGGCTAAATTTCTCCTATCGGCAAAATGTCGATAGAGCTATTTTTGGCCAATGTGTTCCGGTGGCCAAAATTTCGGTGCATCTGTTTTTATCTATATAATTAAATTTTTTTTTTTTTTTTTACTAAAACTGGAGGGTTCAAAATCTGGTGCAGCTCTACATAGCAACCAATCAGCTTCCAGGTTTTATTGCCAAAGCTGTGCATGCTAGCCAATCAGCTTCTAACTTCAGGCCGTTCAATTAGAAGAGGCTCACGTTAGAAGCTGATTGGCTAGCATTTGAATTAGAACAGGCTGACGTTAGAAGCTGATTGGCTAGCATGCACAGCTGCACCAGATCCTGAGTGCTCCAGTTTCAGTAAATCTCCCCCATAGACTACAGATGGAATGTCGGTATACACACTGCACTTGTCTGGTCTGCAGAGGTGATTTCTGGTCAATGTCTCATCCTATGTGACGTGATTTCTGGTCAATGTCTCACCCCATGTGACGTGATTTCTGGTCAATGTCTCATCCCATGTGACGTGATTTCTGGTCAATGTCTCATCCCATGTGACGTGATTTCTGGTCAATGTCTCATCCTATGTGACGTGATTTCTGGTCAATGTCTCACCCCATGTGACGTGATTTCTGGTCAATGTCTCATCCCATGTGACGTGATTTCTGGTCAATGTCTCATCCTATGTGACGTGATTTCTGGTCAATGTCTCATCCCATGTGACGTGATTTCTGGTCAATGTCTCATCAATGTCTCCCATGTGACGTGATTTCTGGTCAATGTCTCATCCCATGTGACGTGATTTCTGGTCAATGTCTCATCCCATGTGACGTGATTTCTGGTCAATGTCTCATCCCATGTGACGTGATTTCTGGTCAATGTCTCATCCCATGTGACGTGATTTCTGGTCAATGTCTCATCCCATGTGACGTGATTTCTGGTCAATGTCTCATCCCATGTGACGTGATTTCTGGTCAATGTCTCACCCCATGTGACGTGATTTCTGGTCAATGTCTCATCCCATGTGACGTGATTTCTGGTCAATGTCTCATCCCATGTGACGTGATTTCTGGTCAATGTCTCATCCCATGTGACGTGATTTCTGGTCAATGTCTCATCCCATGTGACGTGATTTCTGGTCAATGTCTCATCCCATGTGATGTGATTTCTGGTCAATGTCTCATCCCATGTGACGTGATTTCTGGTCAATGTCTCATCCCATGTGACGTGATTTCTGGTCAATGTCTCATCCCATGTGACGTGATTTCTGGTCAATGTCTCATCCCATGTGACGTGATTTCTGGTCAATGTCTCATCCCATGTGACGTGATTTTTCTGGTCAATGTCTCATCCCATGTGACGTGATTTCTGGTCAATGTCTCACCCCATGTGACGTGATTTCTGGTCAATGTCTCATCCTATGTGACGTTATGTTTTTCAGGTAATCGAGAAGCGATATTATTCCAGGGACTCCACCTCGGTGGGTATTTTATCTCCAATATATTCGCTCTAAATGCAGATGATAATATAATGCTGATACAGTGCAGCACTGCTGGAGATGGGGATCCAGGGGCGGACTGACCATTTGGGCACTCAGGGTCTGTAGGGGGCCCCATGAGATGCTCTTGGTACCTTTCATAGTCTATTTTGGATGTGGGCTAGGACACAGGGGCCCCATGATCCCCTATTGCCCGGGACCCCATGAGTTGTCAGTCCACCCCTGTGGGGGTCTATTTAAAAAGTGCAGGAAAATATTGAGCTGTGCTTTACAACTATAAATTGGGGGGGGGGGGGCAGATGTATTAAAACTGGAGCAACTGTGTACGCCAGCTGATCAGGTTCTGTTCTCAGTTTGTTAAGTTAAAGTGGTTCTAAAGGCTCAAGGTTTTTTACCTTCATGTATTCTATGCATGAAGGTAAAAAAACCTTCTCTGTGCAGCAGCCCCCCCTAACAAACACTCACCTAAGCCCCCTCTCGATGTGCACAGGAGTCTCAGCTATCCCGGGACTCCCGCTCCTCGTTGGCTGAGACAGAAGCGGGAGCCATTGGTTCTCACTGCTGTCAATCACAGCCAATGAGAAGAGAGAGCGGGTGGGGCTGAGCCTCGGATGTGTGTGTGAACTAACACACACTGAGCAGCATGTGCCCCCATAGCAAGCTGCTTGCTGTGGGGGCACCCAACAAGAGGGAGGGGCCAGGAGCGCCGGCGGGAGACCCGTGAAGATCTGGAGGATCTGGGCTGTTCTGTGCAAAACCACTGCACACAGTAGGTAAGTATAGACATGTTTGTTGTTTTACCAAAAAAAAAAATTAGCCTTTAGAATCACTTTAACCAGTTGCCGCCTGTAGCCAGATGGCGGCCGGGCGAACAGCTCGTCCCTCCAGGTGGACGCCATACGGCATCCTTTCAGGACCACGCTGCGGCACAATCTGTCACCAGCCATGTACCTCGGACACGGCCGATGACAGATCTGAGTACCGGCCCCTTTGCCAGTACCATGTGACCTGCTGTGACCAATCACAGCAAGTCACATGACAGTTGTATACAATGGATGGCTTCCTTTCATGTCATCTATTGTATACAAGTGTGTCTAGCTGTGAATGGTCACAGCGATCACATGCACAAGCTAGGCCAATCACAGCCCATCTATGTCATGTGATTAGCCGTGGCCAAATCACAGCTAAGCACAAAAAAAATACCCTGAATGAATCGATTTCATTCAGGTAAATGCTTGCTTATAGCAAAGTAATTCTTTGCTATAAGCAAATTGTGTAAAAAAAAATAAAATAAAATAAAAAATACTGATCACTTCCCCAAAGTAGTACAATATTACTATGGTAACATTGTACTACTTTGGTCCTAGTGAAATATGAAAAAAAAATCTTAAGAGGAAAAAGATTAATAAAAAATTAAAAATAATAAAAGATATATATATACAATTTATTATTATTTTTTTTTTTTAATTATCAATTTTTCTTTTCGTACTGTCACCAGTCAGTGTCCCTGATCACCGCCATGCCAGTTATATGATGACGCTGTACTGCACTGGTGACAGTATGTAAAATAAAAAATAGTGAAAATCATTTTTTTAATTTCTTCATTTTCCGAAAAATTATGACAAAAAAAAATTACAACTTCAAAAAACTCGCCATTCCTCTTATGAAATACGTTGGACTGTCTACTCTGCAAACAGGGGTCATTTGGGGGATATCTGTACCAGCCTGACATTTGGGGGATATCTGTACCGTCCTGACATTTGGGGGATATCTGTACCGTCCTGACATTTGGGGGATATCTGTCCCGTCCTGACATTTGGGGGATATCTGTCCTGTCCTGACATTTGGGGTATATCTGTCCTGTCCTGACATTTGGGGGATATCTGTACTGCCCTGACATTTGGGGGGATATCTGTGTCGTCCTGACATTTGGGGGATATCTGTACTGTCCTGACATTTGGGGGGATATCTGTACCGTCCTGACATTTGGGGGATATCTGTACTGTTCTGACATTTGGGGGATATCTGTACTGTTTTGACATTTGGGGGATATCTGTATCGTTCTGACATTTGGGGGATATCTGTACCGTCCTGACATTTGGGGGATATCTGTACTGTCCTGACATTTGGGGGATATCTGGACCGTCCTGACATTTGGGGGATATCTGTACCGTTCTGACATTTGGGGGGTATCTGTACTGTTCTGACATTTGGGGGATATCTGTATTGTTCTGACATTTGGGGGATATCTGTACTGTTCTGACATTTGGGGGATATCTGTACCGTCCTGACATTTGGGGGATATCTGTACTGTCCTGACATTCGTGGGCCTCCAGAAATCAGATTGGCTGTCAGTACTTCAGGATTGATCAATATTCAGATATATCTCATAGTTTGTGAACTCTATAACTTTCCTACAGACGAAATAATAAATACTAATTTGGGTTATTTTCACCAAAGACATGGAGCAGAATACATCTCGGCCTAAATTTATGAAGAACAATTATTGATTTGCAAACTTTTATAACAGAAACAAAGAAAAATGTGGGGGGTTTTTTTTTTCAAAATTTTCAGTCTTTTTTTTGTTAATTTAGCAAAAAATAAAAACCCCAGCGGTGACTAAATACCACCAAAAAAAAGCTCTAGTGTGAAGGAAATTATAAAATTTTAGTTTGGGTATAGTGTTGCATGACCGCGCAATTGTCATTCAAAGTGTGACAGCTCTGAAACCCAAAAATTGGCCCTGGCAGGAAGGGGTAGTGCCTGGTATGGCAGGGGTTAAAGTGTAAGTTCACAAAAACTGAAAAGGTGAACTAACACTTTAAGTCCCCTTCCCCCACCCCCGGTCCCCGCAGCACTTACCTCTGTGAATGATTTGCTTTCACTGCCCATGCAGCCGGTGCAGCGTTCGGGGGATTTAGGAGCCGTGGTCTTTCACTCCTTCTTTCCAAGGGACAGCGATTCTGAGTCGGAAGGTAGGGGGGGATCTTGACTTCTGATGGTAGGGGAGCTCTTGACATCTGATAAAAGGTGGGGGGGGGGGGGTGCTGTGGACATCTAGTGTTGAGAGATACAACCGTCCTTTTGAGGGCAACCATGATGCCGATGCGGCCCGTGAAGAAATGGCATTTGACACCCTTAGTAGAAGCATATTGAACTGTATTTCAGTCACGTGGTCGGGACCGCATTTTTTGTGTGTTTTTTTTTTTTCATTTCACAAGCATTAGGGCTCGTTCACACTAGGCTGTTTTGCCAACGCTTGCCAAACGCCCCTATAGCGTTTGGCAAGCGTTGGTCCGGCGTTTGCGGAGCGTTTTTTAACGCTCGGCAAACGCTCCGCAAACGCCGCATGCGCGGTTTAGCGGCGGTTGCTAGGCGTTTGCCGAGCGTTAATAACGCCCCACAAATGCCTATAATGCATTTGAGTGGTGTTACCGCCCCGCAAACCGCGTCGCAACCGCACCGCAAACGCCGGCAGGGCGTTTGCGGAGCGGCACCATAGACGAGAATAGGAGGCTTCAAAGCCTCCTGACTCGTCCAGAGGCGTCTGTTTTGCCGCGACGCAACGCAAACGCTCCCGTTAGAACAGCACCATGTGCTGTAATGTGCAGAATTGGCAGAGGCGTTTGGGAAGCGGTAAAAACGCTTCCCAAACGCCTCTCTGCCGCCTGCACACAACGCTAGTGTGAACGTAGCCTAAAAGGGTGTGCATCTCCCGGCTGACCCTGAAGTCTAAGGGAAGAATGTGTGGCCCTTAGGTTCCTTCCTCCCCTGCTTGGGGGGGTCTCTCTTAAGGAGACCTCTAACCTTGTATCCAGTGGTTGACTTCATCTAGCCATGATGAGAGAGGTCCGCCAGGCCTTTTGGCTAGGGGGTCCTGAGTTCTTTGCCTCCATTGAGAGTCTTGTGCCCCAGGGAGTCAGACAAGGGTCCTTCCTCTTCAGAAGGGGACCAGTGACACACCCAATGCACTTTTTTGTGTGTCTTTTCGTTTGCTTAGCTTTTATACTTTTGCGCACTTCACTGCGAGCTCAGAAAAAAGAAACTGTCTGAGGGGAATTTCCTTTTGCCTTGTGGCGATTTCCTCTCACTTTTTGCTGAGCCTTCAGAACAGAGAGTGTAGAAACATCTCCCCGAAAAAAAAAAACTGACGGGGGTCCCACATGGAAGAAAATATTTTAAAAATATTCTTTCCAAATATATTGACATATTGTGAATGTACAATATATATGTAAAATTCTGTGTAGATTGACGGCGCTATATAAATATCTCTAATAATAAATAAATAAAAATATAGATTTGTATTTTTTAAAGACATACAGTATATTTGAAATGTATTTTTACATTGGTCCCAGCTGCCTGGAGATCATTGACAAGATCCTCACGTGTAGTTCTGGGATGATTCCTCACTGTTCTCATGATCATTGACACTCCACGAGGTGAGATCTTGCATGGTGCACCAGACCTAGGGAGACTGACACTTGTTTTGTGTTTTCTTCCATTTGTGAATGATTGCACCAACTGTTGTCACCTTCTCACCAAGCTGCTTGGCCATAGTTTGGTAGCCCAGTCCAGCCTTGTGTAGGTCTACCATCTTGTCCCTGACATCCTTGGACAGCTCTTTGGTCTTTGCCATGGTGGAGAGTTTGGAATCTGATGGTTTGATTGCTCCTGTGGACAGGTGTCTTTTATACAGGTAACACGATGAGATTAGCAGCACTCCCTTTAAGAGACTGCTTCTAATCTCAGCTTGTTACCTGTATGAGAGACACCTGGTAGCCAGAAATCCATTTGTGAATGATTGCACCAACTGTTGTCACCTTCTCACCAAGCTGCTTGGCCATAGTTTGGTAGCCCAGTCCAGCCTTGTGTAGGTCTACCATCTTGTCCCTGACATCCTTGGACAGCTTTGGTCTTTGCCATGGTGGAGAGTTTGGAATCTGATGGTTTGATTGCTCCTGTGGACAGGTGTCTTTTATACAGG